GTGTCGCTGGGCTTATCGGGATTGGGCACGCGCATGCGTCGGCAGTAGCCGAATTTGCGGGAGCCGTCCGAGTCCGTCAACACGAACGAGAACGTCTCGCTCTGCTGTACACCCATTCCCCTGGAGCGCGTGCCGCAACCGAATTCAACTGTGAGTAAACTGTGCTAACCACACGCACCACCGCACACACATGAACGCAGGAGAAATGGGATCGGGAAAAGATACCCGAGCAGTTTCTTCTTCTTGTCCTTCTTCTTGCTCTGGTCGGAGAGTTCGAGCTCGGGGAAGCAGAATCGCATGATGGGGCCGGAGATGGAGTCCTTTGCCCCCTGGTCTGTCGACGGCGGGTACCGATAGGCGATGAACGGCTGCCCCGTCGCTGTAAAGTTTTCGTGATGGAAAGTAAGTATGGTACAGGTTAGGCTGGCGCCTGGGTGAACGCTGAGCAATGGCAAGCAATACTGCCACGGCGTGGTGGGAATATCATTTGTCCTAATAATAAAGATAAAGATATTACTGCTGTTTGTTTGGGGGTGGTCTCGCAGCAAAACGAAAAGCGGTACTGTGGGGGGGGGGGCGAGATAGAAGAAGGGAAAGAGGGGAATGAAGGGATATATTGGAAAAAAAGGAAGGGAGCGTACATGGATTGACCTGCACGATGAGGACGTACTCGAAGATGGCCAATTCTCGTGTTTTGTTCATTTTGTTTATATCTATCTTCGTGATTTCGAGGCAACCACGACGCCCAGGCCACTCTTGCAGTTGAGGTCTCTTGATGGCCACCTCAATTTTAAAAACTATTTTTAATCAAGGAGGCAACAAGCTTGCACTCTCGCAAATTGCTCCGTGGCTGCCTGGTATGATCGGAATGTTATTCGTGCGTTATTATTATAAATAACAAATTCGAGCCGGTACGGTAGCGAGAAAGACGTACTTCCACACCACCCAACCCACATGGGCAGCGAGTCCTCCAAGCTTGCCAAGAAAACGGGCTGTACCATTACCCATGCTCTCACCCCCCACCTGCTTGCGTTCTTTATTGTTTTTATTATCATTCTTTTTTTTCAGGTCTTCTATTAACTGATATGTGCTGCCTGGTGGTGAGGGGTCTGGCCAGTCACCAAGGAAGAGATCAAGGACCTGGAGAAGATGTTTTGTGATGTGATGACCCACATGCATGCTGGCTTGCGCTTCAAGCTCACAAGCGCCAGCCTCACCCTCCAGTTTCACATAGATGAAGATACCACCTTTCTACTTGGCAGGTGGGCCCCCATCCCCAGTTGCACCTTGGCAAACCCACACACAGTTCACCTTGTTGACAGTTTGGTCATGAAGGGCGTTGGATCATGACAGCAATGGAGAGATCAACTTCTCAGAGTGTGTATGCCTACTTCTCCATGTTCTTGTTGATGGCCTCTCACTCATGTCCCTTCAGGCTGGTCACCACCCTCTATCTGCTGTCAGATGACAGCACACAGGAGGAGAAGATCAATTGTGTGCACACCTTTCCCTCTCCAACTTCCTCTTTGTCTGTGTCTTGTGCCAAGACACCCACTCACTTCAAACTGGCTCAGTTTGCTTCTGAGTGTATGACTGTGATGGTGATGGATATATGGTGCACACCCCTTCCCTTTACTAGATAGTGCTGCCTCAGCTCTGATGAGTCACCCCCTTGCTGTGTGTGTGTGCATGTGCAAGTGTGGTGTGCATGTGTGGGCATTGTCATGGTGCATGTGTCACATGTGTGTGTGCAGGCACCATTTGTCATGGTGCACATGTCACATGTGTGTGTGCATATCATGTTGGGTCACAGACACCCACAGAGTACCAGGAGGCCTCAGAGCTGCTTGTGCACAACATTTCCAATCTTTCTGTTGATGAACCAGTACCTGGCACAGACAGAGGTGGAAACTTTCAACATCACCAAAGACCAGCAACTGGTCAAGCTGTCACCTCAAGACCTACAGGGACAGATCACCCACAAGTGCATTGCAACAATAATTGGCCTTTCACACAACCACACAATGCTGACACAGCAGTTGGTGCATGCGTTCAGGTTTCTGTTGGAAGCAGACACAGACAAAGATGGCAAGATCAGCACAGAGGAGTTCAACGCATTCACACTCAAGCACCCCATGACTCTGGTAGGACTGATTCACATGCACACCATCCTGCTCAACCTCCTCCAGCACTGCAAGTGGATTCAAAATCAGGAAAAGCAGGGCACAAGTGACTACCCAGCCTGTCCAAGCACCTGAAGCCACTCTAGCTACCACCCACTTGTATACATTGCCCTGAGGGCCACCCAGGGGTATGGGTGGTTGTTGGTGGTGGTGACTGTTGGCCACAAGGGCGCCTGTGCGTTCAAGCTCGGAATTTCACCAATGTTCGCCAGCAGCCAACACACTCAGGAGCAAAGCTGCAGCTGGTATTGCTAATTTGCATCTAAAGAAGATGGACATACCGAAGCCTAGAACGGGGCCTTCCACGGCTTCGACTGCGTCTGTGCCGATTTCCTCTTCTTTCTCTTCATCTGTCTTCGATTGGCGACCCACCACAAATGTCTCCTCCTCTCCATCTTCGCCGGGAAACTTGGCGGGCGCTGCCACGTCGTTCCTCTCCACCACCT